TATAATTATATGTGACTCCGTCTATGTTGTTTTAATACTGAATAAGTGTATAGTAACCAGATATCGCATACGGTGACTTAGGGACTGATAGCTCAATCAACTAGACCTCACGATTGCACAAAATTTCACTTAGCCTTGCCTTCTAAACGGCTTTCTAATGCAGAGTGGATTACAGTTTCGGCCTCGCCTAGGACACATCACTGTCAGAGGGACTCTACAGCAGATGATGATTATCATATTGGTTTTACTACTACTTTTATCAAAAATAAGTAATGTCGCCAATTGAAGTGGCAAACGCATGTTTGCTTAATTGACAATACCGCTATTAAATTTGAGTTTGGCATCTGCCCTGCCACGCATTGGCAACCGTGGCCGTGAAATGAAGTAACGTCACGATAATCGCGAAACGGTATTGATCTCCGCTGAGTGTGTTGATGACGAGGTCGAAAATGCAGCCTAGCCTGGATGAAATAGCTCTTTTGGAGGCAAGACTAAGTGAAATTCATTGGCATCATGAGGCCAACTTATCTGATTGTGGGAAAAATCAACGCCCACTTCACCTTATGCGACTAAGGTATAAGTGACAGTCTCGATAATTACTTATATCAAAAATGTGTTTAATATTTTTCACTGATAAGTGGGTTTTCAAGACTACTATTTTGTCATATATATGAGATGTATTCACCCTATTTCGTTAAGGTAAAAAAGGAATGAATAAAGGGATTGAATTTTCTCACAATGATATAAGTAAGCACTACGTTTCCATTGAATTTCACATAGCTTTGCTTCCCAAAAGGTATTCTCATACGGAGTGAACTGCAGTCACGAGCTCGCCTCACATCTCATCACCACCTCCAGTGGGACTTTAACCCTGGTTGTGGCAGTGCTGCGTATAATCTAGAACCGTTAACCACTACACCACACTGCCACGAGTGACCTTGGGTCACAGGGCAAGTGGGAATTTCAAGGAAGGTCAGACACTTTACCGTATCGCATTCTATGGTGGGATTGTGGTTGAAGCAAAGTTACATTTGTTATAGCAATTGACTACATTACTTACTTTATGTTGTCAAGTCAGTTTTAGAGACGACTAGTATATCATATATGTGAGATCACCCTAACCAAATATAGGGACAATATACCTCATATCTATTATCTATTAATAGTCTTTGAAACCTCCTTTTCATCGAAAAAAAGTAATATAATCTATCGCTACAGTAAAAACGACGTTGCTTCATATGCAATCCCATCAAATAATGTAATATGGGAATAAATATGGCTTTCCTAGAAATGCAACTCTGCTGTGGCCTAATGTCAGTCATAGCAGTGTGACAAAAGGGTCACCGTATCAAAATTATACGCTGCATTATCTCGGTTTGAGCTCCGCTAGAGGTAATGATGAGACCTAGGCCAGGTCAAAACTACAGTCCACCCTAAACGATAATACATTTTGGAAAGCAAAGCAGTATGCATTTAATGCTTAACTATTCTCGAAGAAAGTTAACATCTTGCACCACATGAGTTTTGGTTTTTGGGTTAGACCGGCTAGTCCTAACCCAGGGAAGAGTTTTTGACTTCCGATTGGCCTGTAAAACGATTGTTTCACTTGAGGTTCGTAACCTTAGAGATGGAAATATTTTCGTTTAGAAGTTAAGAAGTTTTCCTCACTCTACAATCTGAACTTAATGGCTGAAAACAACTTTTTTATTAATTTAATTGCCTAAAAATGTAACTATATATATATATATGGCGGACGAAAGCTTAGTACAGTTTGACCTGAATCGAACCGATTACTTAAGGTACAGCTGCGGCAATGAACTTTCTTAAAGCCAACCTACAGCTGTCCAAGAGGAATCCACTCTATTCCTCCTGTGGGATGGATCTTCGAATCTCTTAGTCACTCATTTTCACTCGAAGGGAAGGTGGACTTTACAAATTTAAAAAAATGTAAGTGTCTGCCTACAGTAATTGCAGGAGAATGCAGGAGAATGTATCACACAAGAACTTTATTTATACGAATTGTAAGTTGCGATGAATCTTCTCATAATATTTTTCGGCCGACTTTCATGTAGTAGGAAACTGTCTAATGAAGAAGTTTATGTGTTTATCCTATCAGGAGACTATGGATGGGTCCTGTTTAGGTGCAGGAATTTGGTTTCATTACTTCGTTTAGGGTAACTTAATACACGAAGCATCCACCCTGGATCTTGATGGGACAGTATCATTGCGTATATTTGTAAGGATGTAATACACAAAAACATCCAATCAAATATAAATGTATTTAGATTATTATTAAAAAGCTTAACCGAATCATTATCTATCTATGCCTTTATATATATATATATATGAGATGTATTCACTCTATTTCATTTAAGGTGATAAAGGACTGATACTAGAATTCTCCCACAATGATATGAGTAAAGCTGACGTTTTCATTTCGTTTCAAATAGCCTTGCTTTTCCAGAAGTATTGTACATCCAGAGTGGACTGCAGTTTCCACCTCGCCTAAGTCTTATCAATATCCCCTGTAGGAGTCGAAACGTAACAATGTAGTATGTGAACTTGTAATGGTAACCACTCAGCCACATTGCCACAAGTGCCCTTGGATTACAGGGCAGATTTGAATTTTAAGAAAGGCCAGATTTTTCCATATCACATTCTTTGGTTGGATTGTCGATGAAGCAAGCGTATTTTTATTATAATAATCAACTACATTACTTATTGTCGATTATTATAGCAAAAATACGTTTGCTTCATCGAAAATCTCACCAAAGAATGTCATATGGAAAAAGGCCTGACCCTCTTTAAAATTCACATCTTTCCTACGACCCAAGGGCACTCGTGGCAATGCGGCGTGGTGGTTAACGTGTCGAGATTGCACACTGAACTATCATGGTTCGACTGCCGCTGGAGATGTTGATAAGACCTAGGCGAGGTCGGAACTGCGGTCCACCTTGGACGAGAACATCTTTTGGGAAAGCAAGGCTGTGTGAAATGTAATGGAAGCGTCAGCTGTACTCATATCATTGTGGAAAAGTTCAAATACCAGTCCTTTAAATGAAATAGGGTGAATACATCTCATACTACTGATTTACTGGTAGTCTCGAAACATTGGTTATATACGAAAAATATAGTTTTCAATTTTTTAAGCATGTGAGCATATATAGCATGTAAGTTAGAGTTAGCTAGTCTTCTTGAGCTGTTGTACATCTGAAATTTTACTAGAATGAGCTTCATCAATCACGATGTATGTCATATGACAAATGAAAGCTGAATCAGTTTTTATCTGAGCCGAAGAAGGATTCCACATATATTGCGCCAAATAGCAGCAAAAGTTAACTCAAGTGACTGCAGAGAAACGGGAATCAGCCATCGTCTTCTGACGAGGTTTAGTAACGAATCCGTTTATCCGGCACCTTTGAAAGAGATAAAGATCACCACAAGTGAGAAGTGAGTATTGAGTTTCTCATAATGAGATAAATAGGCCTCATGATGATACTCTATCCGTGCCTATCAAAAGGCCTTCTTCGCTCAACCAAAGTAAAGCCTGTCTCATCAATTCTCCCAAGGGGATCCGAAACCAGGTCGTATGTTTTAACTGGTGACACGCTATCACTCCGTCGAACAAGCGGGAGTTCGTGTGAAGGACAGTGCAGATGTAACATTCTTTGTAGGCCAGTCTTCTCTCAAATTTAATTTAAAGTGGGTCAAACTTGTATTTTGTGTAAAAATCGACGACACTTCTTGGATTTGTAGTGAGAATTAAGGACGGTAGTCACCCGAGGTAGCGTAAGGTAATTTAAGGACTGATAGCTGACTGTCAAACTTTCCCTTTAACTAACTGGTACCTATGGCATCATCTCAAGCGACCCGACTTAACTAAATTACATATTCTAGATCTGAAGATACCTTCGGGTCATACCCATCATCATCCCCATCGTGAGCAGAATCAGCGTTGTGTTGGTTTAGAAGCAAGTACAACCCTTGCCTCGTTGAATTATAGGTACACAAGTATAAATGTTTTAATAAAGCCAATCGTACTTCGACCCGGGTAACTACTTTCCAACTTTCGTCTATCTCGTGACTACTTTTACCCCAGTCAAGAGGTCTGTTAC